CATCCATGTGAAGTAGAAGTTTTATCAGTCCAGCTAGATGAAAGATAGTCAAGCTTGTCATGTGAAGTAGAGATTTGTCAGTCTAGCTAGATGAATGAAGATGTCAAGCTTGTCACGTGAAGTAGAGATCTGTCAGTCTAGCTAGATGAATGAAGTCTAGCTAGATGAATGAAGAAGTCAAGCTTGTCACGTGAAGTAGAGAAGATTTGTCAGTCCTACTTCACATGACAAGCTTGACTATCTTTCATCTAGCTGGACTGATAAAACTACTTCATGTGACAAGTTTGGTTTTATCGTTCATCTAGCTGGACTGATAAAACTACTTCATGTGACAAGTTTGGTTTTATCGTTCATCTAGCTGGACTGATAAAACTACTTCATGTGACAAGTTTGGTTTTATCGTTCATCTAGCTGGACTGATAAAACTACTTCATATTACAAGTTTTACTTTTCATCTAGGTGGACTGATAAAACTACTTCATGTGACAAGTTTTACTTTTCATCTAAGTGGACTGATAAAACTCAACTTCATGCTAAAAGTTTTACATTTCATCTACTTGATGTGACAAGTTTGGCTTTATCATTCATCTAGCTGCCCTGAGAAAATTCTAACATACTGTTTTCAGCTAATCATGATGTTAAATTTCTTATCCAATATGAAAAAAATGTTATATCTTTGAAATTCAGCATGAACTCTTTCTGTAAGAAAGAGTCAACATGCACATGTCATGAACTTTGAAAGTTAAGTTCAAAATTTAATTAAATAACCTTATTATCAATATACAATACACTTGGCATCAAAACAGTTTATAATTCAAATTTACATATGATCTAATTTCTTTATTGCATGAGGATGTATCTAAAAACTCTAAATCTTCATTCTCGTGAGTCACAAAATGTTTTACAATGAGTTCTTTTTATATTTTATACATTTCAAGGTCCAATTTGATTGATGTTTTTTTTATTTTTCTCCCCAGTCACTCTTTACATAAAAGTTTCAAATCTTAGAGGTCTACAAGATTTATAACTTTCTTAACCCATTGATACTAATAATATCAAACTTTTCAAAATCATTACTTTTACATATTCATGGAACAAAGTTAATGATGAGTATGATAAAATATTGTAACATCACCTGCCTAGCTATACAAACACATAAATATCAGATACAGGAATGAACATCCCACCTTAATCCCAGCATCCCACAGTTCCCTGCACAATTTCATTCTTTCTTCCACCATATTCTTCTGAGCTGAAGCAACAAACACATCAGTTTCGGTGGTTCTCACCTTCTTAGATCCCGCCTAAACAAAAAAGTCACTTGATCATAAACAGATTCCACAACACTGATAATCTGATGATACTTACAAATCTGGAAAAAACATTCATATTTTAATAACTAACATATCATTACAAACAAAACCCAGTAATAGACCTGGTTTATTTTACACTCATCCATTTGAATTTCTTTACTGCTTTATTCTTTCAGTTTACTACAACAGTTGATCCTTTCGAGAGGGATCACGGGTGAAAGGCCATGTCATCTCGTTTGTTGACTCGCATTCAAAATTTTATTGAACTACTATTTTGTGAATTTATGTCAATAAGTTTGGCATTAAACTGTAGATTATAATTCAGATTTTAGAACTATACATTACTCAATTTTTTAATTTAAAAGCAAATATTAAAAAACACAGATAAACATCAACCTTGTGTGTCACGTGGTATGTTGAATGCAGCACTGGTTCAAATTACATGTTTGTGATGTCAAAATAC